CAACCTCCACCTTGCGCTGCTGTTTGGGTCGAAAAGCAGCATTTGTTGACATCTCAAACGCATGGGTCAAGGGTAAAGTGCCTATCTGAGGTTTCGCAGCTGTACACAATGCCGCCACTTCCCTTTGAAACTTACCCTGAATCAACTGGAGCTCACAATTTGGTTCCACCGAATCACCACCCTTAGCTATGTGACATAGCCAACAACAAATTCTACCAATTTCTCTACGCACCCTGACCGCTGAGCCACAATCGTGCCATAGGACGTGTTATCATAAGTCTAGCCATTGTACTACGTTGAGCCAAACGTGCCAAGCTACTGAGGAGGGTCAGCCGGATCATGCCAGGCCTGTACATAGGTGCGATGTAAAGTAATATTTTTAACTTCAAACAGCAGGGTGTGTATGTTCACGTGTTCAACTTTCACCATCTCCGCTAGCATATACCACATCTTACCCAAGGTATGCGCTCTCACATTCCTCAAAAAATTAACTTGCATCCCAACCGCAAAAGCTGGAAGAAATGACCGCTTCTTATCTGCAGCCTGCTGTGCTGACTGTCCCGAGCCCCCACTTATGATCATTTGCTCGTCAGGAGCATAATGGGCAATTTCTTGTGCAAAGAAGTCCTCTGCACCCCATCTTAGGTGCGCCCCGTATGGATAAAATACAGGGACATGTCACTACTAGACAGTGCAGTGGCATTGTAACTAGCACAACAAGCATGTACATTGGTTATCCAGCCATCCAGGCTAGAGAACTCTTCACACCGTCGCAGCCATTCTTGCGTCAATAATGCGTGGGTTAGCTCACGTATTATGCTTTGAAAAGTCAAGTTGAAAAGCAACACCTTGAGGATGAATCAACGACGGACCTATTTGAGACGATAGTAAATGTGGGATACTATAAACTATATTTTATATTCTCTGAACTACTACTTACAGATTTTGGTCTTCCCGCCAATCTCCAAAATCCAATAAGTCTTTTTTTTCTTCTTTTTTCTTCAGACGGAACTTTATTTATATTAGCTAATGTATTAACTTGACTTACGTTCTTATGTCTATCTACAAATTAGACATGTTGTCATGAGTACTTAGTACTTCTAGTGAAAATTATTCAATAAAGAACAGCTAGAGGTATGTCCTGTGGGATCGAGGATATCAAGGATTATACCAAAAGGCAGTTCCGATCATTCTTACACAAGCTACCACTGCTAAATCCTATCTGACTTATATAACATAGTTTAAGACATAGAAATATCCATCGAAGTTTACAGATCACCTTTGATAGTCAAAGGTACCCAAACAAATTGTATAACCAAAGCTGCAGTACGCACCCAATCTCCAGGCGTGGTAAATAACATAATCACTAACATATCGGAGAACATGTTAGTGCAAAACTGGACCGCACACTTTCCCCCGGTGCCTCAGAGAAGACCCCAAAATCTATAATTCCAGTTCACGGCTACACCTACCACGGAAGGCGCCATCCTACCAGTCCTTGTTGCTAGCAAAGCTCACACATCAAATTCCAACGAATCATTCCTGAGCACGACGCTCAGCTCTCTCAACAGAAGCTTTCAACACCGTTGGAGGGACCTCAACCGACCTATAACCGTCTGAATAATCAAAGCGCTGTGGCGCCGAAGGCACGAGCCCACTACACACCTTAATATGCACCACTGGACCCTGCGATTCCTGGGTCAGGCACACCACTGGGCTGACAGCTGGAACTTCACATGTCTATACAACCCAATTCCATACCACATTTGGAAGCACATAGTGCTGTCGCCTGTGGCCCAACCAAACTAACATGATGTAAAAGGCTGTGGTGGCTGCTCCTCATGCCAACTCTGGTGGCACACAGATGGGAATATCAGCTAATAGTAAAACCAACAACGTATACCAACTGTGAATGACCAGTACGGAGTTACCAATATCGCCCAAGCCTGTGGCTCCACTCTCTTGAGCAACACTTGCTCCAGAGGAGAAAGTTTCATGTTCGTATACCAATGTTCGTATACCTGTCAAACACTCAAAGACGACGGCGTCAAATATACACTCAACGGCTGGTTCACAGGCAAAGCAAACGCTGTGTCAATATCATGTGGCCCCCACTTCTCATCCAACACATGAAACCACTCAACCGCCAATTTATATTCTTCTGCCATCACTTCTTGAATCAGCTGCGTCGAAAAGGAAACCCGCAACTGCGGACTACCCCATTGCACTTTCATTATGGGGTAAGTACTCTGACACATTCGGGACATCACATCTGTCACCGGGTGGTGATCACCCCTGTATATACGCTGTGTCGAAATATGATCATCTCTGATGACCCCACGACACCGCTGCTGGCGTCGCCCTCTTACAGTGTCGGGAAACTCGTGGAGTTGTCTGGCATACAACGCTACAATAGGCTCATGATCTGTATACACACAGCGTTATCTCCAACACAGCTCTCCACAACACCCGCATATGCTTCTGAACAGTGAATACTGCCCCGTACAATTCTTTGTTGAGGATGTGGTACCCTAATTGTGCAGAATCAAATGTGTGACAGCGACATCAAAGTTCAAAGTTCGAAGCTCAAACTCAGCAACCGCAAACCGTGTTCCGTTAAAACTTTATATGTCGAACAAATATACGTTTACGATCAACTTTCATTCCGTGTACGGTCCTTTGTATGCTCACAGGTGTACCTTGCGGGACTAAAGTAAACATCTAAGTGTGTTCTGTTTTCACTATACGAACCACGCCTATAAAAAATTTAGGTAGGCCACAACCGTTACAACGTTTAAAAGTGAATAAATATGCATTTACGTTCAACTTCACCCCCATAACGTAATGAGTTTTAGGCTCAAAGTTCAAAGTTCTAACTTCAAAGTCAAACTGCAAACTTGAGACTTCTTGAGAGCAGGACCTGCTTGAGAGCATAAGACAACATTTATAAAGAGCAATCTTCTTGCGGTAATTATATAAATACTCAAATGAAGTCTACACTCTTTTCTTCTATTTGTGTAGAAATCGATTGTCCCTTTCCGTTAAGTCCAGAGACTTCAGAGTCCAGAGTTCAGACTGGCGGCTCACGTGCCGTATTTCGATTTGGATGTCTACTCTGTACTCACCGTCTAATTTTTTTTTATGAAATCAAAATTGATACATATACATATTATTGGGTTTTTTTTAAAAGCAAAAAATTACAGTCCAGATACATATTCAGATACTCTCTAACCAGCTAAATAGCTCTAGCTCTAGCTCTAGAGAGACAGTAGGCTGTAGGAAGCGACTAAGCGCCTAAGCGATGTATGTACAATTGTACATAGTATTTATTACGGCCCTCTGGACAGCGGAAATCGTGAACTTAGCAGAATGTACCTGTACTGTGCTATTGTTTTGTTTTGTTTATAAAAAAAGAAGGAAATATATTTATGGGTCCTCGACTCCTCGGTTAATATTTACTCCTCTCAACTCGCAACTCGCAAGGCAAGGCTGAATGGCTGATGAGTCCGCCAGTCCGGGGCTTGAAAGTTATAATTTTAGATAATTTATTTTAGACTCGACAGAACTGTGACCAAAAGGCAAAAAGGGAGAAATGGTGAACAAGTAACAACTGACAACTGTGTGAGACTGCGAGTCTGTGACAGAAAATGTCACAGGCCCTCAAAGTCCTCAAAGGCCTGGGAAGTGGGAACTCAATATGGATGCCCTCTCTCACAAATTTCATATTATGTATTTACCAGATTACAGATACTGAGATGCGCCTAGTTTTTTTTAAGTTTTAAAAAACGTGCTGACTGCTGTAGCTCGGATTGCATATCTCATATTTCCACTTTTTCACTATATATTCCATATTTACGTTTTGGCAGACCTCAGGGCCCCAATATTGTTCTTTTATTACCAAAACATAATTCTTTTGCAGGTGTTTTCTGCACTGAAGAAGCCAAATTGAACCTCCAGGCTACCATTAAATAACGATATCCCCTTAGTACTCGACTTCAATCAGTCTGCCCTCTAATTTTAGGTCGTATATTCCATATTATATGTCAGCTTTTGGATATATTATATATTTAGAATTTCCAGAAATCATCCCGTATCACGTATTGTAAAAACGAATACAGCTATTTTTCGCCATATTCCATATCTATAAAAAATAAATATGGTAAATATGAGTATCTACAGTTACCCCCAACGGTCTACGCAGGCCTGGCCTTGACCTTAACTCCTTGGAATCCTTGACTCCTCTCATACATATTGTGATGTTGTCCCTCGCTGCTCTTCTCTCATGTGTTGATCGAATTATTCTTGGTGGTATTCGAATTTCAAATGCTCCACTACCAATGCCTCATACATGGATCCACGAGTCACGGTGTCAGAGCTCACTGGTCACTTATATGCAGTTCAGGCGCTCAAATGGCTCAACTGCTCACGCGTGATACTTTATTTCAATCTGTATGGCTACCTACCCACTCCTGAGTACCGGTATTACCTGATCTGTCGCTTGGCCGGTTGGGTGATGGACTAGGAGTACTATTGAGCCGTCCGTTAGAGTAATCGAGCTGAAAAAGTTAACAAGAATTCATGCTATTTATAGAAAAAAAATGCATAATATGAACAAAAGAAGGAAAATCTGAAATAATTCCAATAGGAAAAAATAAATATGGAAAGAAGATTTTGATTTTTCAAAACAAATAGAAATCTGGCCATCATGCGTCAGCCGACGGCGTCAGGTAAGGTTACAAGGTAAATAAATAATATGTTTGAGCCGTCATGAATTCATGACTCGTGTATGTTATTACTAAAATCGTTCATGACTATACCTTTATTTAATATTATTACTATGTACTCTCTCTGAGAGGCTAGTAGAGAGTCTACATTATTATGAGAATGAATATTGAATTTTCACCCCTCTAAAATTTATTGTCACACTCGCACAGTCACACTATTATTTTTAAAATACACTATATATAGTATGTGGTAGTTGTCATTCATTGCCAGAATATTTCGATTTGCCATATAGTCAATATTTTTAATTACATTCGATAACAGCATTACATAATATTCATCATGGGGAAGACGGCAGATAACGCTTACCTCACCAACGAGGAACTAGCGGAGCGTAACGAAAGACTTAAGCGCAAACAAAAAGCACATCTGGCCAAAGCCGGTGGCTGGACAGCAGGTTCAGGTATCGGTGGTATTATATTCGCACCTATATTAGCAGTTACTTTGCCCGCAGCCGCTGCAGAGGCTGCAGCAGCAAAAAAGTTATCAGATAAGCAGAAGAAAGTTAAGGATGAGATGAACAGGCGACAATTTGGTGGAACATCCGATGTCGATGGAGGCTTTGATAGTGGAATTGGTTTGGGCCAAGATAATTATGCGAAGACGTCCTCTGCAGGCTACGATAATACCAGCTCGGGGTCTCCTAAGAAAACGACAAGCAGCGAAACAAAGTTAACTAGAACATTTTCAGCCGGTGATTTCACCAATGGGAGCTTCAACGCTCTGTCAGTGTTGCCCTCGACAGCATCACGTTCGAGTGAACCGCCTACTCGTGCAGTGCAGAAGGGAGATGAAATTAATCTCATCGATTGGGATGATGAGGTATCAGATGTACGTACATCCCCCACGCCATCATATAGTGCCAAGAATGACCAACTCAAAGACACTTTCTCAAAAGCTCTAGATCCTTTCAGCAATCAATCAACTACACAACAAGCCGCGTTTGAACAACAAGAAGCTTCGTATGGACAACAACAAGCTTCGTATGGACAACAACAAGCTTCGTATGGACAACGACAAGCTTCGTATGGACAAGGCTTTCAACCGGCTCAACAATTCCAGCCATATAGTCAGGCTATACAATATCAGCAACCTGGTCAATATTATCAGCCACCGCAGTATGCGATGAACGATCAGCAGCAGTACAAATCGCAATCGAACCAGATCGAATACAATCCCTTCAGTTAATTGAAGTCGATGTCGTCAACGGTGTGTATTTGCAGTATATACGTTTATTTTACACCAGCGCGAGTTAAAATGATCCTCCGATTGAATCCATATTTGAGCCCAATCGAGTCTACACACTTCCCAACTATACATTAAAAGTTCAATTTACACGAGATAAAAAATTGGGATTCATCACAAATTTCCATTTGTACGTTCATGATTGTTTGGGTTGCTACAAAATAACCGGCTCAGGATATCCTCAAAAAAAGAAGCAGCGATACAAAGTGAACTAGAACGGTTTCGGCCGGTGATTTCACCAATGCGAGCTTCGTTGTGATAAGGTCGCCCTCGTCAACATCACCTTCAAGTGAACCGCCTACTCGTGCAGTACAGAAGGGAGAAGAAATCTGATCGATTGAGATGACAAGGTATCGGATGTACGTACATTACTCTTGCCAGCGTATAATACTATTGATGACCAAACCAAAGACCCTTTCTGAAACGCACAAGATCTGTATAGCAATATCAACAAACTTCGTATGGGCAAGGCTTTCAACCGGCTTTAGCCATATAGCCAGCCTATACAATATCAGCAACCTGGGCAATACTATCCGTCGCCGCAGTACGCGATGAATGATAAACAGCAGTATAAATCGCAATCGATTCAGATCGAATACAACCCCTTCAACTAGTTGACGTTAAGGTCGTCAACGGTGTGTATTTGTAGTATATACGTTTATATTAACACTAGCGCGAGTTAAATATCTTCTGGTAGAATCAATATTTGAGCCTAATCGAGTGCACACTTCAACTACATATTAAAAGCGCATTTCAAACGAGAGAAATTGATAACTAAGTTTTCATTTTTGTGTTCATGGTTACTTGTACGTTGATGGTGTAGAGGCTTTTAGCAGTAATACTCGAACTGCAGACCTTGTCGTTGCTCTTTACCGCCAGAAGCACACCCTAGATTGTTCGGGTGGCGGTTGCACCAGCACTTTCGCTTGCTCGAAACCGGATATAGATTCATGTAACACTAGAGTAGATGCTTACACCTTGAGGTCATATGCTCTTCTGTGATGATCTTTTCTCCGGGAGTCCTTTTGACCACGGCAACGCACGGTCTTGGCCTGTCATCTGCGAAGGTTTCTTGGTTTCGCATCAATTTACGTTCTGCTATGAAGTTTACAAAAATCTTCATAACGCACACTGGTAACTCGCTAATGTTACTCTTTGACTAAAATTATGGGTGTTACCGAGTGGTTCTCCAGCTACACAGCGGTCGACTTTGACGGCCTATTATTTTGAGCTTCTAACTGCGACTTCTCCCCCCAGCTGGTATCGGGATGCCGGTCAATTGTCGTGAGATTGATGCCCGACTCCATATGTCGGTCGATTGTGGTGAGATTGATGCCCGACTCCAAGCCGAGCGCTCCTAAGGCCCCCGAGAAGATGGAGTCGGCATCTGCGTTGTACAAATCACTACCAGCCATATGCGAACCTGCACCGGGACCGACATCGCTACTGTAGTAGTACATTTGTATGTCTTGTGTTGCTAAACGTCCGCTGAAGGTCATGCATATCCACATGAGATGGAACAGGCACACTAACACAAGTGCAATCATGAATAGATACCCCACGGCACACCTCAAATACAAGCGTGAATCACTAGTCCATGTCTTAGGCCAACAGTATATCATTCGAGTCTCGAATGGCACGCTTTTGTCAGGTATGACGAGCTCAGCTATCGCCCACAACAAGTTCGCTACCAGCCACACCAGGCAAATTAGATTATGGAAGAACTCTATAAACTGACCACGGTGTGTGGCGGTGATGTAGACGAGGTCTATAAATATCAGCAGTGTGGGTACAAACACCAAACCATAGCCAATGATGTTAAATTTAGCCCACAGTAGATCCTTCAAGCACCAGAAAAATGTGTAAGCCATCGCATATTCGGAATAGTCGCGGAAAAAGAGAGAGAATCGGGGCATGGGCATATTTTCGTTCTGTCGGGATAAAGAGAATAGATACAGCAATCAGAAGAAACAGCACCCATGAGTAAGTACGACTCAAATAACATTAGTGTTTTAATTGCGCTATACATTGCACAGGCCTGGAGGGATAGACTTCAACTATTGATGTTGAAAACAACTTATCTAACCACGTACATATATCTACAGCTGGCAAACGAACGAAAAATTGATATATACATACCTGTCGGAGTGTGAAGCGGTCTAATCTGTTGAAATAGGGTACTTGACGGAACATTCGGACAATATAGTACAAGCCGAGCCATGCACACCCAGCAATGAGGAAAGGCACAGCGATACTAGTACACTCTTCGAATATCTGGCCACTTCTAACTTCAAAGGTTTCAGCATCTGTAGAAAAATCAATAACTGCTACTTAGAACATGTGCTATGCTGAAAATAGTACCAACATGAAATGGCAGAGTCTGAAATTCAAGTGTGGGGGAGGGTAAGCGATTGGACAGCGGTGTTAGCATTGTTAGAAAACAGCATCCAGGCGCGCACAGCAAGCAGAGTACCAGAGAAAAAAATAGCCTTAAACTGAGTGATATCATATTTGCGTGGACTATAGTGGTCACATATATAGATAATTGACAAGGATGTGCAAGCGTGCAAGTGTACACGAACTGGCTCAGCTATGGCATTTCAGGGTTCAATTGCACACACTCGTCAAGGAGCGTCGCAATACCTATCAGAATAAACCGCGGAAGGTAATCTGGCATGGTCAAAGAAAAATCAACGCTTGTATGCGAAAATCAAGGTGACGAAGGGAATACAAAACAGCATACTACAAGTGGAACCGAACTTCGCACATTATACCTCCGCTAAGGAAATGCTGAGGATTCTCCACTATAAATTCTCCAACCATCCATACGAAATTGCCCGACAGCCAGAGAAGCACACCAAAGTTGAGCCAGCACTGAGACATGGCCCCATTATATAGGTCGAATGAGATAATGACAATTGACAAGAGCAGAGCCAGGCAACCTGAGGATTGATCGATATGGCCAATAATGTATCAATTTATAATTTATTTGGAAAACAATTGTTCATACAAGTAGTTTCTACATAATTAAGTAGATGTACTATTAAGCCATCTATATACATATATATATATATATATATATATATATATATATATATATATATATATATATATATATATATATATATATATATATATATATATATATATATATATATATATATATATATATATATATATATATATATATATATATATATATATATATATATATATATATA